GATGAATGTCTGAACGTTGAGCAGAAGTTCTGACTTTACTGAAGACATCTCGGATCCTCTCTTTCTAGCCACAATTATATCTTAATTAGCTCATTTTGTAGTGCAAACGACCGAGACGGACCACAGACAAAGTAGGTTTCAGTAGATCTACTCTATAGAATTCGTCGTCCACCATCATCATCATCATCATTTCAGCCACAGGACGTCTACTGCTGAACATAGGCCTCCCCCAATGACTTCCATATCGTCCGGTTGGTAGCGGCCTGCATCCAGCGCCTTCCTGCTACCTTTATCCACCCTGTGAGTGGACGCCACACGCTGCGTTTTCCTGTACGTGGTCCACCATAGCTCAGCAAAATTATAGACTTGTTTTAAGAGGATAAACATATTCATGTAAAATGCGACAAGGACGCCTTCCGAGGATTTTTTAGAAAGAATTAACGTTAACCTCTCGTGGTAAGCTTAATATGCTTGTGTTACGTAATGGTTCACCATTTTATAAGAACTACCAACTTAAATCATCTGTATGCTCACTGGAGTTAGAATATATTAGAGACCATTTTAAAACATGCCCCGAAAGACAACCAACGACAGTAACCTTAACTAAAATACAGTCCGATTACTTATCCTATTTTTTCATGTTGTAAACAATAAGTTAACTTATTTTTAGCTTTGTATTCAATCACAAGGTTAATCCTTCTCTCGTCTTGCCTTCCTTCTTTACAGTGTTGTTCCACACCGGCTTCAACTAAGCCTAGGCGCATACCATCGATTTTTCGTCAGCCGATAGTTTAGTCGGGCAGTTGATCAGTATGGGCATGTATGGAAGTGCGCACATTAGGCCGATTTGATTTGACCGATTCTTCATACAAATTAAAATCGGGCCCAATTATCGGCCAACTAAAAATCGGTGGTCTGCGCCTAGTCTAAGAGAATAATACCGCGAGAAATCGCCAAATGAAGCACTGAATCCCAATGATAAGCTACCGCGTCCACCTGCACTGTCGATGGACCGACTTATCTCGATTTCACAGAGACGCTTAATAAATTTACACTGGCTGTTCGCTTTTAATCCTTCCAGAATTCCGCACTTCGCGCGTTTCGCTGAACCACGGTCCAAGTTAAGAGATTGTTATTAGCTGGTCCCGCTAATCCTTAAGACAAATAAGCCAAAAATTGAATTTCAGCAAGTTCATTTCAGAGCACTCTGAGCTAGGGAACGTGGTATGCTTAAATGAGCAACTACAAATACTGCAGTAAAGATTAAAGAAGCATATTAAGTGAAGTGAAAGAAATAAGTGTTGAGTCAAAATAATGCAATCGTGAAGTTTCAAGCCTTGTCTGCCAATAGGCTGGCAAGGATTTAGGGTTCTGGCAGAATGTAGACCTTCACGTGTCTTAGACATATTATGTACACACGACAGCTCACATCAGGCTACCCATGATAATGATATTATGATTAATGAAAAATAAATTGTGAAGCTCACCCCATTTAAATTCAGTGACCGGGGCAGACTGAATCCAAGCAAATTCAGCTTTATAAGATAAGCATTAGCTCTTATAAGTCATTTCATAGAGTGAGAACTTTGTCTACAATAAAACAATATTCGTAAGATTAGAAAACAAGGCTTCTGTTTCCCTAAAACTTACTCCTTTTGATAAATTTTTACTAACACTATTGACCCGTACTTACGTATATGATGGCTATACCAGTAAGTGGACACACACATCTTAGCTACAGAGTAAAACGTACAGAAACTATAGTGGACAGTCCAGCATAGTTCTACAACTAGTCTCATTAGAACTCCTCTAGGTCCTAGTAGAATCGTGATCATTGTACGAGTAAAGAGCTGTTCCTTAGTTAACCTAGGCACCTAACTATGGCCTCTTTAGCGAAACTTTAAACTGTGCCTTGGACCATACTTTATGCCCGCTCTGGTGTCTTGAATTTTAATTCAAGTTATCGATCCTCACCTTACAAGTTTAGCCTTTACTTGGACAAACGGTCGGCAGAAATGTCTGGAATTTTTCCATCTCCGTAAAGTTGTCGTATCAGAAAATAAAGTTTAAAACGTTTTCTCTCCCGATAATATTAACGTATTCGATCGAGTCCTTTTCACGGGCGATGTTTATCAGATTCTCATAGGTTTTGGTTCTTAACTTTATTTTCCTTGATTTGGTGAAATACGCCAAAATGGCTGTTACACGTGTTTTTCATTAAATGGGGTTAACTTTTTTTTCTTTGAAACATTATATCAAAGTACGTAGTAAGTAAGTACTTACCAAGCTATTAAGGATAATTTTACTGAGATATTTTTTACAACTAGGTATTACAAGTTGGTATGTTTTTTAATTAAAACCCTCGTCTATTCCTAAAAATTCCTAGTACGGTAAATATTTTAAAAATATAGGAAGTTTTCTATCAAAGTTCCCGAACCTATTTTCAATTATTGTAATTAGAGCTTTAGCTTCGTATTTGCTTCTGGAAATTCTTAAAAAAAACTCACGTGACTAAAATAATGTACACATTTTCATTCCAATTAAAAAATTGGGAATGCAATGAACTGGTATGTGTCTGGAAATAAATCCAAAAGACCTACAGTCAAAATTACACTTTAAATAAATAAATAAGCCCCAAATAAAATCTCAATTCTCATTCCGGTGCCATACTAAAACGGGCGGTCACTAAATCAGTCATAATTACTGCAATAAAAGTCTGTACAACACGCCCCCTAGCGGAAAAACGCGACAAATAAACTGCGCGATATTGGCGCGATAAAACAAATTTTATTGCTCGGTTAGCAATAATACACGGGGTTATAACACAAGTTTAGATTAGCGTTGTAAATAAACAATTGTAAGGAATGTTCAGAATTTTGAATCACAGTAACATCGGTTACTTTAATAACAAATTGAAATCACGTTAAAAAATGAAAACTTACAAAAACAAAAGAAACTATTCCTGAGAGTTAATCTTAAGTAAATAATTTTAAGTAAAGTATGCATGAAAAATGACTTGACGAAGTAATAATTTGACCCCTTTACCAATTCCTTGTCATGGAAGTAGTATTTTCCAACTTATAAAAGTAATTAAGACTAGCAGGATGCAGACCGCGTTGCAGAATAAAGAAACCCTTGAACCTGTTTTCCAATGTCTTGTCAAGAAAGTAATTAATTGCTGACATATGAAAGTTTTAATAATGTGTTACAGAATAAAAAATACGGAGCAATGGCCTCTCACATGATCCAAAAAATAACAAACGCTTTTTCATATCCTCAAGTTTGATATTTACCCGGTGCCTCGGGCTTGTAAGAAATTCCTCACAAAGAAAAAGAAATTGCCGGGAAAAACTTCTTATCACAAGTACAACACTCCAGGTCAAGTTACCGAAAAGACGGCCCAAACCCACACACTTCGCCCTCGAAGATTTAAGATGGCGGCGTCAAATTGACACATCCGGTGGCGGCTTTGACGCAGGCACTTGCCGGAAGTGCACTTACAGCGTTCAGATATCCACTCCACAGAGAGCAGCTTCCTGAAAAAGTATCCCGGCTGTTAGTAACTTTCTGAAGCTTTTTGCCCCAGCTTTTGTATCGATCGTAAGACAGATGCTCGGAGCTTTGATATTTGTTAAGAGTAAGCACTAAAGTTATTTCTAACTTGTAATACAGTCAACAAATAGGTCACTGGGCAAAAGTCTTCCCTACATCCCTCCAGAGATCCTTAATCAATCCAGACAACATCTCACAATTCTTCAGAATTATTTTAATGGTGTACCTCTGACTTGTTATGGCTACCTCCCGTTGTAGTCATTAGATAACGATTTTATAACCAACTTATAGGGTGTATCCTTAAAACGCGCTTCCCTGAGTATATTTTACAAAATCTCAACACAAAATATGTAGGAAATAGCTTCACAAAATCTAAGTGAATACTTACCTAAAAGCTTTCCTTTACTTTATCAATCAATAAACTGACGTTAGTAAAAACCAACCAAACCTTCGCACTTTTCGTGTACATTTTATTTCCATAATATCATATATTCAGTACCAAATATGGGCTCACGTTTCACATATTTCAAAACTATGAAATATTCCAATAGAACGTGGAAACGAAAGAATTTCCTATTAGGGGAATAGTTGGACAATTTGAAAATATTCTGGGTACGTGGCGTTCCTGAAAAGTGATCTAAAATATGGGCTTGCCGTGAAATTGTCGGGAAAGTTTCAAAATCTGAGCTTTTCTTTTTGTTACTGTTGTGACCACAGCATGAGTACGGCATGATGTTTGTCCCATAGACAAACGCCCGTATTCACAAACGATGCTTGCTTAAGTGAAGCAGCAAATCGAACGCACAGCGTTAAATAGACCTCTGTGAAATACCCTGTGCGTCTACGCGCCCTGTGAGACCTCATATTACCTAAGCAGGTGCGTGAGTGTGTGACGTTACTGTCAATATGAGATAAAAGTCATAAAAATGCAAGATAGTAATTGCATTTTCCAAGGCGCATTTCTGGTAAAGTTTAAAATCTGTGAGGAAAACCACCCCAAAAAACTGAACACTATTAAACACAACAAAGGTGTAAGTAAGATAAACTACAATCATACAGTGCGCTGGAGGCCTTATTTAAGTATTTTACAAATTAATAAAATAGGTAGGTATTTGGTATTAATAAAAATAAACCAAATCTTAAATATTGTTGGTTTAATCTTTATACCTATGTAAATATTCCGTAATAGGTAAAAAGTTATGCTCATTACGCTGAAGTAACTTTTGATAACAAGGCAATAACAATGATAAAAATGAAACCTACATTATGTCCAGTGAGCACATACGACCAAAATATTCATAATGCAAAATATCACCTATTACCACTATACATAAGATATCATAGTAAGTTTACACTTATGTCCGAACGCTTATGACGAACATAATCTGGTGACACAGGGTTTATCTTTTTCTAGATAAACATTAAAATTCTTAAAATAAATCGGACCTCATACTCTCAGGTTATTATCGAATAAGCATACGTGAAGTACAGTTTACTCGTAGTTTAAAAAATGAAGCTGTTTTGCATTTCTCTGTTAGTTTTAGTGGCGTTGGTGGAATGTAAGCATACGTTTATGGGCACCAATGTCCTAAGACCACAGTTGTACCACGCTATTATTACTCATCATGCGTTGGTCTTCAGGAAGCGTGTGGAGAATCTCAGTTACACCATACCCAACTTGGCTGGAAATGCTGGAAGGACTATACAGGTAGATTTTCATTTTAACTTTCTCTATTATGTAAAGCTAGCTGCCGGCAATTTGCCCTAGTAGTATTACGAGGACATGAAATGTATAAATATCATCAATACAAGGGAAATAAATCTTGTTGTTAACTGTGACAAGTGTGTCTAGTCAATAGTGATTTTAATCATTGATTGGTACAGAATTTAGTTTTTATTTTTAATTTAATACCAACCAGTGCAGCAGTGGCCTATTAGGTTTTATAAGTCAAAACACCAAAAATCTTCGTGAAACTAGAAGCGATCAAAATGAAGATCAAAATGTACCTACTAAAATGAGATTTATTTCTTTGTTCATCTCTAAATTACTTCACGTTTAGACAAACAGCACAATTTCGTAATTTATCCAGATATTATCTTATCCGAAGGTCGTCTGGAAGCGATCGTTTTACGAAAACATTGTTAAAATTATGTTTTTTGTGCTAGTCTGGAGTTATTACAGCAATAAAAAAGTTTCAAAGTAAAAATAGTAGAACATTCGTTGAGTAGTTGATTTAATCCGTTTCGAACTCACAATAATCAACATAATTATTTCAGCCATAAGATGTCCACTGCTAAACATAGGTAGGCCTACCCCAATGATTTCCATGTTGGTATACCGGTTGGTAGCGGCCTGCATGCAGCGCCTTCCCGCTACCTTTTTGATGTCGTCGGTCCACTTTGTGAGTTCGTTCTACGCTGCGCTTTCCGGTACGTAGCCCCCACTCCAGGCATAAAGAATGTGTGACTTATTCTTTAATGTTTCTTTTGCAGGGAATATTGGCATGGGACTTGACCAACACTGACGCATCCGCCAACGTGACCCAGGGCGGGATTGGGTACAACTACGTCAACCTTCGCATGAAGAGCTCACGAGGGGAGGATCTGAAATTTGAAGTTTTCATATACGCTTAAAATGTAACCCTATCCATGAGCAAAAGATGAAAATAAAGATTTAATGCTGTTTAGTACTTTGTATTAAATTGTTTTAAGTAGGTATTTCATTATAATAGCATCGTTTTTAACTTGCAAAAATACAGGACGTAAAGATTGGAAAACCTATTCTTAAAATTAAATAAAGGATCCTTCAGCACCTCTCCTAAGGTACACCTAAGTTTTTAATATTCAATTCCTATTTATTTATCTGAGTAAATACAGAATTATAAAAAAAAACACTATACAATTATTATGTATACATAGATAAGCGTGTAATCAGTATAATTGCAAAAAAAAAAAAACAAAAAAAAAGTTCAGTGTTCGCTTTTCAAAACATCGATACTATCAGATTCAAGGCATCGTGCAGCGGATTGAATTCACTGTTTTAGCCTAGGCGCAGATCACCGATTTTTTTAGCCGATAGTTGGGTCGGAGTAATCAGTATGGACAGGTATGAAAGTGCTCCCATTACATCGGCTGATTCTTCATACAAATTAAAATCGGGCCCAACTATCGCCTGACTAAAAGTCTGTATAAGAGTCGGAAGTCGGAGAGTCCAAAAAAGATACATTAGAATTGAGAACCTCCTCCTTTTTGAAGTTGGTTAAAAATACAGTACCCAATTCTAATATGCTAGGAAGTTAAAAGTTCTGGCTCCGGAGTTAAAAGGTGAATTTACAGCGAACAGAATAGCTGAAACGTCTGCCCGATACGAATTGGCAATAAACAAAGAGTTGTAAAAAAACCAGCTGCACCTGATAGCGCGTGACAGACCGATAGACACGACGACGGTCCGCGGGTGACACTTACACCGATGTGAAATGTAGCAAGTTATTAATATCTAAAAAAAAATTAAAAATATAGGTAAGGCTGTTGTACCTACACATTTCTCCAAATTCTTGGATTTCTAATCCAAAGAAATATTTAAAAATAGGGCATTACTATTGTATCACGCTTACAAAGATAGATGTGATCATTTTTTCATCATTAGGTAGGTACTAGATAGTAGAAGTACTTCAGATAGGTTTCTTCACAGCAAAAGCACGACCCTCTCTTATTCATTAGAAGCAAATAGAAGATCTCCCCATACTGGCTAGAGAGCCAGACCGGCTGAGGAAACCTGATGTTCTTATGTTTGTTTCCTAATCGTCTTTTACCACATCTACGGGAAGAGAGTATTTTTATTTCTTGAGTAGGTACCTATTCTACTCTGTATTCTAGAACTACATCTTTTTTGTGCATTAAATCCAAATAAATCCGATGTTATCACGTGAATAGGTAATAAGAATCTTTACACAATGACGCCACTGAAACCTGAAAAAGGCACCAAATGCATTTTTTTTCTCAAATAAATCTAACTAACGTTTGCAGTCCGGTGTGACACGCAGTCTCCGCTAGTCGTTTTGCAACAAAAAATCGCCTGTCTCGTTTGCCGCAGGAGATTTTAAAATACTATTTTTCCAAAACCAGGTTTGTGGCCATTGTCGGCTGTGATTCCAGCTGGTCGTTGATAAAGATTGTTAAAAATATGTCCGGCTGTTATTTGTTAACATTCTGTAATTTTAGCTGTTTTATTCGGACTTCTGTATCGATTTGTAGTTAGTGAAAAGTTTTTTTTTAATCCACAACGAGGAAGCTCTTGGCCTGTATCTCACCTGATGGTAAGGATGATCAGGCCGAAGGTGGAAGCGAGCTGATCCACCCGGAATCCTCAACCACGGAAGAACTGGCTATCTTACCTCTAACTGCCGGAACACAACAATGCTTAAACATTGTTGTTATGGCGGCAGACTTAGGTAAGATGGTGGTAGCTAGCCAGGCGGACTTAGAACAAGCCCTACCACAAACCAAACCGAACAGAAAGATCTGCCCCCACTGGGAATCGAACCCATGACCTCTGCGTCTGAAGCAGGTGGTTTTACCACTAGACCACAGCGGCGGTTTGAACTAACTAAACATGACGAGAGCCAACTTACTATGAATTAATAAAACGTACCTACATAAAGCAAAATCCCTTCAATTAAACTGACAAATCATTCCACGATAACACTGTTTTACCTGAAAAAACATGACCTTCCATTTGCACTCAGAAAGTCCAAATTTGCGCAGATAACCTATCTAGAATTTCATAAAACCCGTTTCGCTTTTGCCGAGGTACAAACACACCCACATGTAATATTACATGATTACTGTAACACCTTTTCTTGTTTGATTTTCCTCGTAATTGGAAGTCAAGCTCAATGCTTTGCAAAGGCGTAATCGAGCTAACGAATCCCTGGAGCCTACATTAGGTACTAAAAAAACCTCTACCTAGAAATAACCCGTAGAAGGTCGGGTAATAACAGTTTTAATTAGGTTAAAAATTACGCGAGACTCGCTTCGCCAGTCCATTTAGCTTTTACGGTAACGTTTATTTCCCCGTGCGTAATGGAGGTCTCCATTTCTGTTCTAATACGGGTAGATAATGTCTTTTTTTCAGGAACAACGCTCGGGCGTTGCTTTGTGGTATTCAGCTGATAGCTTAATAAGCACACAATATGACTATTGTGAAGAAAAATTGTGGCCATGACCATGACCATTGACCATATAAATTGGAAAAAATTGATACGATTGTGTTTGTGTGTTTTGAGATTAGGATTATAAAGCGGACTTAGCACACAGTTATTTTAAGATAATACATCTTAAAATAACTGTAACCTACAGAGGTGCCTAAGGTAAATTAAATTGTGAAGGGTAGGTACTTACCTACCCGTACTTACATACTTATGTAAGCCGTCAATTCTACGTGTAAAGTGTGGTACATAGATTGACAGCACATAATTAACTCGGTGCCCTTGTATTTGATTTGTGGTCCAAAGTCATGCAGCTGGATCAAAAAGAAAAGAGAATTTAATTCTTATTTTAAATAGTGAAAAGTTTTATACATAAAAAATATGTCTTGTAGCGCAGCAGTGGTTTCTTGAGCATCTTCAAGTTTCCATCCGCCTCCTGTTTAGGGCCAATGATTTTGCGGAAGATTTTCCTTTCGGCGACCGACAGTTTGTTCTCCTCTTAAGGCTGAAACTAAACAAGACCGAAGCAAAATGGCGTCATCTCCTATCAAAATGGAGTCCAAGACAAACTGGCTCGTCGAGCCATAGGTCTAAGGTAAGAACCTAACTTTTGTGAAAAATATTATTGGCGGTAGCTAATTGCTCATGAGATAGACCCCCTTAATTGATATTTATTGTCCGTGGTGCATGATTTTTTCTTGAAGGTTATCAAACCTTTGTTTGTCACCTGTCATCCGCTTTGCAATGGAGGGAAGTCGAACCTTAATTTTGAACTCCTATGTTCTTCTGATTAATTTCATTGCGGGTCCAATGACAGTTTAACTTTCCCTTGGGACAAACTTGACCTTCATTGGTTGGGTTTTATGGCGGTCAAGCTGTAGATCCTGGCTACACAGGAGTTGCGGTGGGATTGTGGGAACGAGAGGTGGGAATAGTCCCGTAAGAACCTAACTTTTCCAAAAAACCGCAAATTCTTCCCTCTTGCGCCCATTTCGAAAGTCAGAGTGATAAACTCCCAAACCGGTTTTCATCAAGTAACAATCAACATAGGAAACTTTTCTCGAGTTATCTACAATTAACAGACGTTGCGAAATGTAAGAGTTATTCCAAGTCCAAAACTTTGTGATCAGTTAACGAATTAGCTGGATACAGAAAATTTCGAATATTGTTCGTTGACTTAAGAAAGTCGATTAGAATTTACATACATAAGGAGTTAATTCGTTTGCACTTACAAAAGGATAAATATAAATTGTATTAATAAAGTAATATACATTTTAAAGTTAGGTATAAAGCTTTTGGCACACAGACCTGAAAGAGCATGTTGTATTACCTAAATAAGAGTACTGACATTAAAGTTTTGGTTACAGAATTTGAATTGGACATTAACCTACTTTGGTTCTTATTAATTATTAGTGTTATAAGATGTTAATTTCGTGTGACTGGTTGGAAAAAGCGATTTTGATTAGTATGACGTCACAAAGTATATTATTATTGCAACTGAGGCGTTCTAAATCAATGTTTTTATATTGAACTAGCTTTTGCCCGCGGCTTCGCCCGCGTGGAATTTTGTCTGTCACAGAAAAACTTTATCGCGCGCGTCCCTGTTTCAAAAACCGGGATAAAAACTATCCTATGTTCTTTCCCGGGACTCAAACTATCTCTATGCCAAATTTCATCAAAATCGGTTGCGAGGTTTAAGCGGGAAAGCGTAACAGACAGACAGACAGACAGACAGAGTTACTTTCGCATTTATAATATTATTTGGGATTAGTTGGGATTGCTCAAATCAAAAATCTTATTCTAAGTTTAACAGACGTAATCTATGATGAAGCGAAGATGCCTTAGGATCGTCAGAATATCTGGATCACTGACGTCAGCATTCCATTCACTAAGGCCGAGTTGCAACAACTTTAACCGTAACTATAACAATAACCGGTGTTTGTGTATGGAGTTTGACAGATTTTTCATGTTTGTTAAAGCAAGATGGTGCAACTCAGCCTAAGAAATCGAGGTCTTAAATTAATTTGATCTCACGGAAACCTATTCTATTCCAATATGTGACAAATAATGATAACAACCGTCATGTTTCACCTCAGGTAGAGAGCGATCCGTCACACACAGACATTTATTAATTCCGAATATTCCCGAAAACCCGTCGTAATGCCGGGATTAGGGCGCCCGCGCAATTGCAACACTATCCAATCCATGTTTAGAATACATTTTACATGCACATTTGCACAAAATGGGTTTCAAATGGTGTCAATGTGTCACTGAAATAATGCGTTTTCAGTGAAACAGTAATTTAATCGATGTTTACATTTAGATCTGTAAGAATATGCCTGACCAATTGACCATGTAATAGGTACCTACTAAAACGTATAATAAAAGCCACAAAAATCAAGCTACAAAAGACAACTAAAGACTACTTTTTAACAGCACTTATTAGCTTAAACACAGTTTTAGCTGTGGTTTTAGCAACAAATCACAAGTGAGTTTATATGAAGAGAGGCAAATATTTAATTCATCAACATATCAGTCTCGCATCGCAAGTCTCAAGCTGTAGATCCTGGCTACAAAGGAATTGGAGCGGTGGGAGAGGTGGGAATAGTCCCGTTTTTCGCAAGTCTGCACCCAGCCTACAAATAAGACAGCTGTCCTGTATAAGATATGCGTGTGTACGCCATGTCAACACAAATCAGGCCCCGAAATAATTTCAGAGACGAAAACATGTTTACAGAAGATCTACGTCTCATATAAGATATGGAATTATTCTTAGTATTTATACAATTATTGGATCTAGGTAATGAAGAAGCAATGTAAGATGATACGTTGGTATCGTCACACAACCATCTAGATTTTAAGAATACCTAGGTTAAATAAATAAATATCTAAGTAGGTTTTATTTATTTTACGGCAAACGACTACGAAAATCAGAAAAAAACAATTTTCAGGAAATCACGGTAGGTTTTAGGTACTCATAGGTACCTGACGCCACGGTTATGGCTACACTTAGGTAAATAACTAACTGTAGCATCAAGTTCGTTTCAGACAAATGACATCAACTACTGGACAAAGGCCTTCCCGAAGCTACTATTACTTATTCTGTGCCGAAGCATTCTAAGTACTAGTACCTAATAGGTGCTATTGCCCGACGGTATAGCAAGCTGAAGTGGCAATGGGCAGGGCACATAGTACGCGGAACTGACGGCCGATGGGGCAGCAAGGTTCTGGAATGGGAGGCCGCGTACCGGAAAACGCAGTGTGGGACGTCCACCCACAAGGTGGACCGACGAAATCATAAAGGTAGCAGGGAAGCACTGGCGCAGGACGGTACCATTCGATCAACATGGAAAGCATTGGGGGAGGCCTTTGTTCAGCAGTGGACGTCCTATGGCTGAAATGATGATGATGATGATGAGGTGCTATTTTGTAAAGAAAACAGTCTGATGCTGCTGCTATGGTTCCTTCCTGTAGCTAAGATAATGTATGATTTTTTCAACAATAAATAAAATGAGACTAAACTTTTTAAAAACAGCGCAATAAATAATGCTGCGCGTTCATTCATTCCGCAAACGCAGCGTTTCCACACGATGAGGCGATGCGGCCAAATTAAGCTAGGTTCAGTAGGTTCTCTTCCAACCAACAAAAGTAGCTTTTCTGTCAAAAACTTTCATCTATAACAAGCTTTGCTGATGCGCTGAAGTTGGTAGTTGGTTATTTGGGGTAAGCGCGACGAACATTCATAGAAGAAGAACAAGAACATAAAACAAGAACAGTTGGAATAAATAGTAGATAATTTAGGTTAAGTTTCTTCTGCCGCTTCTTTTTACCACCAGCCGATAATGCTGTCTCAAAGTGGTGGTAGGGCAAACTATATTCTTATTTGGAACGTGTATAATGTATTGGAAAAGGTCTAATACGTCTTATTAATAAAGAACTTGAATTTTGATCTAAGGTCCTAAAGGTACCGTGAAGCACCAGGATGCAAGCAGCATAACCGGTTGCCTTGGAAATCTCAACGAAGGCCTTTGTCCACCAGAAGACTTGCTGAAATTAAAGTTGCATCACCTTAACTTGCCCGTAACTATAACTTTAACCAGTGAGTGATATATGGAGTGTGATAGACTTCTGAGTTAAAGTAAGATAGTGCAAACCATGGTTAGTCTACTTAACCCCACCTCTATTATGACAGTAATGTGGCGATGCGTGGAGCGATCCGAGCGAGCTGAGCGAGCGCGCTCGTATATCACGTGACGTCGCTACGGCTCGCGCGTCAAATGTTTTACAATTTACTCGCATTGTAATGTATGGACTTACTTGGACAATGGGGCTGTGGATTGATCAAAAACGATCTGTAGTATTTTAGAATTGGCCAAATGAAAGTACAATTTCAATACAAATTCTCCTTATAATAAAAGTATTTTAATGAAAATTCACCACTTGTCTCGGTCAGAGTGAGATAGAGAAAGTCCTCATAAGTCAAATATTGTCAGGTTAAATGCCACATAATTATACTCGTAGCAGGTTAAAATAATTTGAATCTTTTAGTATGCACAAATATGTCATCCCCGCCTCTTTTTGATTTCACAACTGTGATTTTCATTGTCTGCGCTGAAAAATAAACAGAAAAGTAAACAGTACAAAAAGCCTTATTTTATTCTTTCAAATTGCAAAATGAGCCCTTGTCATATTGCGTACTTTCTATACTACTTAATATTACAAAGAGGTAAAGTTTGTGTGTTTGTATATTTGTTAAATTGTAAGGGGTAATCTCGGGATCTACTGAACCGATTTTAAAAATTCTTTTACCAATAGAAAGCCACATTTTTGCTGAGTGTCATAGGTTATAAAAAAACCGAAAAATCCACGCGGGTGAAGCCGCGGGCGGAAAGCTAGTATTAAATAAACTAACTTGGTGTGCCCGCGACTTCTTGCGGGAAAATGTTTGAATATTTCCCGTTTTTGCAACAACTGCTCAATTGTTATTAGTCTAAAGCCTTCTTCGATAAATGAGCTATCCAGCACAAAAATAATTTTTCAAATCGGACCAGCAGTAATTCCTGTACATCTAGCATGAACAACTTTCGTTTTCGAATCGTTTGCGTATTCGATACTCAATCTTCGAATTAAACGATAACGTGACAATTTTGATTCTCAGAATAAGTTTCGTGCAACCACATCTCATACTATGTTCACTTTACGACACGTTCAGAAGGGCGCTGTTGTAGTTTTTTTACTAAATCTCTTGATGGCGATTCGAGTACGCAAACGATTTGAACTCGAAAGTTTTTCGTGCTAGCCGTACTGAGATTAGCGCGTTTAAACAAACTCTTCAGCTTTATAATATTAGTATAGTTAGTATACAAAGATAAAATACCTACTTACCACTACATTCACCCTTCGGCAGATAATTTTTCTTCCTTTCCCTCCTCAGAATCTTTTTGTTTTTCTTGTGAAACTTCATAAGGCTCTTTGATCCCAAAACTATGGACAGTTCGAAACTGTTCAGACGTCTTCTCAATTTTTTGTTACAAATTATTATCCTCTTCCATTTTTTGTAAGCAAAACTCGCATTTCTTAATGCCGTACCGTCTAAGAACCTGAAAATTAATTTAAAAAAAATAATCACTGAGTTTATGAGATTTATTTTAAATTTAAAATACCTACTCAACTTCATCGTTTTAGCCAAACGACGTCCACTACTGAAAATAGTCCTCCTCACTCAAGTCCTCTTACATAAGTTAGTACTGGTAATATTTTTTTTATAACAATAAAATAAAATAAGTCCACATAAATATTGTCAAACATTCTTGACTTTTATTTGCTATAAATTCATGTTAATATATTTTATTCTGTGCGCAGCTTTTTTCATAAGACGTGACTTTCACGACGTTCCTATAATTTCATTAGACGTAAAGTATAAAATATAACACTCGCATGCAAATGAAAAAACTGAAATATACGTCGCGTTACTTATCAAGACATGAGAAACTTACGAGAATATTCTCCAAGACAACTCCAAGGGCAGGGAAGATACATTGTCACGTGAATCTGTATGAATTATATCTGCGCCGAACACAAAAATTCCTCTGTCATGCATAATGTAAACAAAAGATTTGTGATTGTGGCGGGAAACGCGGGTAATAGATTAAAAATTTGGCGTTTGTTTTTTTTTAGGCATAAAAGTTAGTGGTGATGTGAATGGCCAGTCAGATTAAAAAAGTTTGAGTAGTTATTTAATTTAACACTAGAAAGACGGGAGCAGTCATTTGACTGCAATTTGAATTTCAAACCTTAAGCTCTGAATAGGTGGATGTTTCTTAATTAAAACTTTGGCAGTAATTTAATGATCTACTTACTCGTATTATAGTGTAAGTAACTCGTAAAAAATTTTGATGGTCTCATAATTAAAAAAAATGAAAGGATTTTGATGAAATAACAAAAATACTATTTGTAATTTTGAATATTGTTAATCGATATAATTTTCTTTAAGTAGGTTGAACTAACAAAAATAATAAGGTTATATTATTAAAAGTACGATAAAAAAATACAGCAGGCTATTACAATCATTCATCATCCACTTCATTTGGATCAAAGTGGTAGATTTCCTTGACCAACTTCTGGTACTGGTCCCTTCCATTCATCAGCGTCGTGGTTCCCTTGGCTACTAGCGCCCCCTGAGAGTTTCGGAAGGAGGTCTCCACCGCTGTGAGACTGCCTGGACGGAGCACCGAAGTCTCGACCGTTATCACCTCGCCGATGCGAGCTGCTGCGATGAAACTGTCAATGAAAAGAATTTGTTACTTATTTTTTGGTAAATAATTATGGATAGTTGGATTAGTAAATAATGTAGGTTTGAAGTTGAAGCGACAATGCGTCTTTCCGTTCTATACATGGCCAGAACGCACCCATAGGAAACTGCTCGTGTATATTTTGTAGTGCCTGTTTGTAAATCTGTGACTCCAAACTATACACGAATTTTGCGTAGGTAGGGGAACCTGTTGTACTTAGGCCAGTTTTTCGAATTTTGATTTTTTGAAAAATAATGGTGATAGTTAAACTTGTCTAGTGCAGTTATATTTAAATATCATTTAATTAACTACATAATTCATTCATAAAATTGTGTATAATTTTAAAAATTTGGGCATACTAGCTGCTAGAAAAAAAAAGGGAAAACTGTCCTAGGTACAACAAACCAGATGTACCTTGGACCGTGTACGTTGTACCTATTTAAATTTAAATAAGTGCTTATATTCGCTTCAATTTGTTAATTTTCTGTTAAATTATTATTTGAAATACCAATTATTACAGTTATTAGCAACAATATCTAAGTAAAAGTATTTTTTTAAAAAGATCCCCATCCATATTTTTTGCACTAATTATTTTTCACAATTTTTTGGCAACAAATCACTTAAGTTTAAGCCGGCTCTCCAGTCCATGTTTAGCCTTACACAATCAACAAAAATATGACAATATTCAACATTTTATCTAGAAAATTTNTCAGTGACCAAGGTACATCGCTAGTTGGGTGGTCAAGGTACAACATTACGACTACTTCACTTAATAAGCATAATAAACCCACTTCCATTTGAGCTTAGGATCTGAAACTCATATCGTCCAGTAGCTAGATATATAAAGATTATGTTCTAACTATAACCGTTTTGTCAAACATGCAACATTTTTCATAAATTGACATGAAGTAAACCTCCAAAATCTCACTGCGTCAGTGTAAAATATTAAATTACCATTTTTTCTTGTACTTGCACGGCGTCGGCGAATCTTAGCTAACTTCACGTTAATGTTGACAAATAACGTATGTAATACCCTAGACAACTTTTCATAAAACCGCATAATTTAAAAAATATATACAATTGTTTTAGGTACAACTCTGTCCAAGGTTCAACAGGTTCCCCTACTGATCGTGTATAGTTTGGAGGAGCTTAGTAAAAAAAGTCATTTCCAAACTATACTAGATTAGTTTCTACTACACCACTGTACACTTGATTAGAGTGTGTTTAGTTGATATTGATTTAGTAAAATTCAGTAAAATATGGAACTATATTTAAAATTACATTTATTTGATATTATTACATAAAATATTATTATATTACTGAATCTATAATAAATCTAAATTTTTAACACTATTGTAAGTGGTTTTTGAAATTAAATTGATTTGGTAGATTTCAAATTAAATAACAATTTAATTAAAATGAGAGAGAGTGAGATAAGAAAGTTCAACGTGCATTAAATACAATATTATGCGAGACTTTAAATGCTAGGTTTGTATTGTCGGCCGTTTGGTGTAGTGGTTCGAAACGGACTTACTATTCCGGAGGTAGCGGGTTCGATTCCCGCACAGTACAAACATTTGTTTGTATTGGACTGGGTGTTTTCTATGTACATAATAAGTATGTATTTACAAAAAAAATGTATTTAAGTAATGTTTATATCCGTTGTCTAGTACCCATAGTAGGTACAAGCTTTGCTTAGTTTGGGACTAGAATCGCAGTGTAAAATGTCTAAGGATATTTATTTATTATTTATTTTATTTATTAACTTTTATTTAAAGAACAAAATCATTTTGACATATTTCCATACCTACGAGAATTGGTGAAATATCAGCCCCAAAACAAATATATTTTCTATGGCAGAATAAGAAACACCAAAAAATCCTTTATCAAAACAATGACACGTGTCGAAAGATGATTCAATGTTTAAAGTAGACACGCAGATATGAATTAATATGTAATAGAAAGAGAGGTCAATAAGTCAAAATGACTAGCATGCAACTACTCACTCGCGTCTAAATTGTAATCACGCACTTATTACAATACATACATGATTAGTCCGTATGCGTACTGGCGATATATATTTTGGAGTAAGACAATTGACCATAATTATTATCTGTGATTGACCTAAGTCACTACAAAGTATACGCGAGCAGTACGCAGCATATGCGTACTGGTCGTGTATAGTTTGGAGGAGCTTAGTAAATAAAGTCATTTCCAAACTATACTCGATTAGTTTCACACCCTTGTGTTCTGGCTATGTATAGAACGGAAAGACGCAGCGACAATAGCCGAACTGTGAAGGTGTCGGACTGATTCGACCTCAGATCATAGAAAGAGAATTCGACCGACTCGAGATCCGAGAAACTTTGGTTCGAAGAATTTGAACTTCTCTAATGTCTATAGATTCCAAAATTAATAATAAAAGTACGATTGTCAGAACGTGTTATTACGTTGTTAATAGCTAGCAAACTACATGTAAATTAGTACTTCAATAATCAAATAACTTACTCAAGATTCAAACCCATGGTCCACGCAATTTTCCCCGTAGTTCCCAGGTGTGCGAACGTTGACAAAGCATCTACACAAGCCGCAATAAAGCCTCCGTGTAAAGTGTCGCCGCCATTGCACATGCTGCGTTCCACTGTGAACGTGCTACGGCTCACTCCAGCCGTTATGGAGTTTATTTTCACCTGCAACCAATAATATTGTTTAGGTTAAAAAAGCAAGTAACATAGAATAAAAATCCGACACTATAAGCCGAAAAAAATTTGTCCCACCTACCGGCCGGTTCACACATGGTCTCCGTTTTACTGTTCCGTTTTATCGTGTACGTTTTACACCGGTACCGGTTTGCTTTTTACATGTTATTGTAATAAGCGCCATCTAGGTACCGGCTTTTGAACCAAGCACTAGTAACAAGAGCTTTAGTAACGCCATCTTTCGTGTATAATAAACAATGTAGTACATCTATTACTCACTAGATGGCAGAATACAGTGTATTTCCACTAGAAAATTCTTATCCGAAGTTCCAGTTTATGGTATAGTAGATGACCCACGCTGAACTGTCCCACCAAACTCAATGACAGGGGGCTACCATCGTTCAACTATATGGTTTCCAACATAGCAAAAATCGGAACCAGCGATCCGGTAGGTATTGACGGTAGCGCTCCGTTGTCAATGTCGTGGATAGGACAGTTCAGTATTTTGGAACTAGTCCGATATGGCCCGATGAAAACACTCCCGTAATAAATAAATATCATACAACTACTTGCGCAAGTAACTTACCTGCTTTAAAATAACGCTGGTGTCAAATTGATTTGGTTTGAATTTCGTATACAATTCTAATGCCTTTATTAAACGAGACCCACGAGAAGCCATGTTTCTTGATATTAAAGCTATTCTGTTATCTCCTACGTTGTTTTTATACCCACCACTATCCAGCCGTTCAAAAATGACTGTACCTATAGCATTGTAATGCGTATTTAAATGGTATTTAATGATGACAATAATGGCAATTTATTGTTTTATCCGTTTGCTAAGCCTTGTCTACCGTTCTGTACATACAACTTGAAAATAAGTCCTCCATCATCGCTTCATAAAATCAATATTCAATATTCACTGCCCACTGGAGTAAATCCAAAAAGCATGAATTACGATTTAACTCGTATTTATTTAATAAAATAAACAATTTAGTGACCGCTGAAAGTACATTGTATACTTAATTTACATTACATTTTCATAAATGATACAAGTAAATAAAATCGATATTATTAAAATACAATAAATTGAATATTTTTAATGTCAATGTATCACTTCACTAGTCCACTCGTTTTACTAATCGATTATAATTTTTTTAACTAGCAACATCTAACAAATCAACAAGCGGGTTTTGCTTGTGTCGGTTTGTTCGCAGGATTATCGGAAAATAAATATTTCTCATGTTATTTGTGTTCCGGTATAATTACTCTTATTAGACCACAGTATTAGGTTTTATGTGTAGTCATTAGAGCTCCTATTGTTTAGATATGTGTATTATTATGCCAAATTACGAGTGACAGATGTTTTCGGATTAGAGCGCCACTTTTCGACTGAGTTTTTAGATAATTTTATTTGAAACATGGAAGATATAAATAAAACTAACGCTGAGATGGAGTGCAGTGTTTCTGAACCAGGTATGTTTATTCATTTTCACGTTTATCATAAACGATATCGTGATAACATTTTGACGTTCATTTACATTACCCGACCAAATGAAGGAGTAGCTCATGTAATCGCAAAATTGTACCCTACTTTAGCGATCCACAGGTTTTCTGCATGCTCATAATCAAATGTTTCAACAAAATTTATGTTGCAATAAAATTGTTTACCTGAAAACATGCTTAGAACATCAAGAAATAACGTTTTTTACTTCTGGTCTATATGAATAAGATGGGTATTCGTAGGACATCTTAACATGGCTGGATTATAAATCAAACATCAATAACATTTTTCGGTCACAAAATACGATATTCAAGGGATGTAGGTAGGTAGTTGAATATACTGAAACTGAATTATGAACATTATTACGCTTACGTAATAAGTTACATTGTATTTTCATAGTTGGACCCTATGTTTTGAACATTCTAATGAGTTGTAATGACGAAGCTTGTTGTTATTGTAAACAATTTGAACCTTATTGTGTAAGCTGTAAAGTTCACATTTTGGCGACATTTTAGGTTAGAATCCTCAAGTAGAACCTTTTCAGAAAAATTAAACAATTTTACCCGACTGCGCCAGAAGGAGGGTTATGTTTTTGTAAAATAAAATTAATGCTAATCTAACTGATACTGTTTGAACCAACACATTCTTTTACAGTTTTCCATGATTATAAAATTTTGATATTGAATGATAGTTAACTAAAGGTTAAGTACTACATAATAATTAATAGACTATGTTTATTCTACTAATGAACTCTTAACTAGGAAATTAATATTTCTTTACCTATAACTATAGTCAATACATATTTGTTAGTGCTAAAATTATAATTACTCGAGCCGTAAAAGAAGCTCGGTGTATCGGTTAACTTATAGGTACCTCTTACCTCCCAATACTGGTTTTGTAGATCTGATTCCGGTCATAGAAAAGACATGTCCTAACATGTTACCCAGTAGTGATCGTTCCAACTAGAACTTTATTAGCCTTGACGTAGAGATACATTTAAATAAAATATACTTTACATACAGCCTTGACTATGGAACATTGAACTATTTTCATTATTTAATAGGTTTATCTATATTCACTCTGTAGTTAGAACTAAGATTATTAATATAGTTTTGCATTGTTAATATTATGAATTTAATTTGTGTAAACATTTGTTATTTTTCAATTTGATCTAAATCTTTTGTTTTTAAATGACTACTTATGCAGAAATTCTCTTAATACTTATAATTTCTTTATGTAATTTGTGTAAAATTTTAGGTAAAGAATAATTAACATTTTAATTTGATCATCTACTTTTACTCTTTAATCATCAAATTAAGTGTCTACGTCCAAAACATACAGGGTGATGTAAAACTTGACTTAGAAAACTATAATATAAGATTATAACACCAACCATGTATAAATAGTAAACGCAGTGTACTAGTCATAATTTTATGATTCATCATATCATTTATCATCATCAGCTCCAAAAACATCACCGCCTGAAGAGTCCACCCCCACCAAGGATGTGTTGAAGGTCACACAACCGCAGTGCAGCCCCGACTATGACCTGCTAGACGAAGCAGAGATGGAAGTCAACTCCGGTCAAAGTGAAGAGGTATGGACAAAGTAGTTTAATGAATTGGAAAGTCATTCATACTCAAATATCCAGCTCGGGGATTATCTTTCAAAATCATTAATTGATTAACTATTGATTTGATATAGTTTCAATTTCATTGTTTGTAAATTAACATGGAGAGTAAAAATCTATCAATGACAAAAAAATGTATCAAACTGCAAAAATAAAAAGTTATTTAAAGTTAGCGACATTTAATAGGTACAGTAATAAATAAGACCGAGGGTAGAAGATAACTCAGCTATTTATAATATAGAAACATTTTTACTTTTGATGATGTTGAATTGTACTAAACTATTTTTATTACATTATAAGCTAAAAACATATTTTTAGGCATCGAATGACGCGAATGCTGCCGGAGCCTCGCCGGCACAAAAGAGTGAAGGTAAATTAATTTCATTATAGTAGTCAGAATTAATTGTTTTTAAATTATAAGAAAACTAAAAAAACTATACATTTGCAGCTTCAGCCAAAAGAAAATTAAGTGGCGAACCAACCGACAGCAGTGCGAAAATTCAGAAACTTGACCATGTTGAGCCTGATTCCACGCAAACCCTGGACGACGAAGTCTCGGAGATAATCGGGGCTTCCAAACGCTTTGACACCCTTGACGACCCCGTACCATCCGTCTCTAGAGTCCGCACTCCAGCACGATCTAGTCCCCGTAGGCTTGCCAAACGAAGCAACAGCGCAGATTTAGATAAACTTAAAACACCAAAGACTCCCAAAAGTCGACCCGCCAGCGCAGACATTACCAAATCCCGCAAAACACCCCGTAAAGTACAACTAGATAAACTTAAACCTGACCCCATTGCCGAGGAAGATGTCGCTAGCACTTCCAAATCCAGACCAAGCGTAGAGTTTGTGGCTGAAATAGAACCCCCAAAAGTTACAGAAATCAATACCGAAAACTCTGACCTCAATGACTCACAAGATTTCCAACTTGTCTTGTCACCATCGCCTGTAGAGGACGTTGATGAAGAAAAAACAGAAGAAAAACCTAAAGAACCAAATTATAGCAGCGACCCAGTGGTAGTCAAAGATCGGAAGGAAATTCTCGACCCAGGGAAGATTCACGAAACTCGAAGCGAAGGCTACACCTTTTCCGATCAAAACAGCAACCTATCCCAACCGCTACCGAAGGACTTCAAAGAGAAAGCTACCGATCAAGAGAGCACTGACAGCATTGGTTCTTTGATCTTAGAGAGTCCAGACCACATTCCGACCGTGGCTTCAAAGTTGATCTCAAAACTTTCCAATGGAGACTCATCCACTCCTACCGAATCGTCAGCTCAAGGAAAACATGGATTGCCAGAGAACAGCGACAGTACTCCTGATATGATCAAATTGAACGGCAGCAAATCGAAACGAAAGAACGAGTCTTTCAAAAACAGCAACTCAACAACGCCATCTACTATTTCTCCGTTACAAAACGGCCACTCATTGCCGGCCAGTACTCCTCAGATTCCAGTGTTTGACATTCACGTGAGCCATAATGAGGACTGTGAGTTCTTATCGCTGTATGTCGTGAGAATTGACAACGATCTCAGCATGGACATGTACAAGGAGTACCAAAGAGTTTCCAAAAGGTTCACAATGGATGGATATCAAGCTGATGTGTCAGCCACCAACTCTACCTCTAGCGTCACCAGCGGAGCCATGATCTCTCTGCCGAACAGGGCTTCGTTTTCTTCAACCATCAGCTCTTTATCCACATTGAGTAGTCGAACGAGCGACGGCAATTTTCTAGTGCCACAAGCCCCTCGTAAATCCGTCACGAACCCATCTACAACGGTTAAAGGGTATGATGCGTTGTTGAAGAAATTGCAAGAGATATTCTCACATGTTCGGGATACGTCAGACGAGGCAAACAGGTCAATTTCCGATGACAAGGTCTCAGTGGGCATTCAGACTGCACTGTCCAGTGACTCCACCTTAAGCAATGGCAATGCCAGCCCGGAAGAAGTAGGGAAATGCGATAAGGCAACTCCGAAGAGTTCGCTCAAGAAGTCCCGAGTGCGAGGTCGACGGCATATTGCTACAAAGACCAAGCGGGCTCTGTTGCCGACGCAGCTTGAGGAGCCAGAGTTTATGCACGGTATGAATTCTCCAGAAATGGTGCCAAGTAACGGGGAGAATGGGAAGGATTCGTCGATGAAATCTCCTAAGGAAGAAAAGCCGCTGTCGACTTTGGTGGCGACGCCTAAATCTGTGAGTAAGCTGAAGCAAAAACGGCGGCCGACGTCGCCTAGGCCGGTGACCCCTGTGGAGAAAGTTGTAGTCAAACCGGAGTACCCTGGCTTCGCGCCCGATACAGTTGTGCTAGCCAAATGGGTGGACAAGCGTTACTATTCGGGGAAAGTGCAGGAGATCACTGAGCCGAATAAGTACTTGATCAAATTCGATGATGGGCAGAGCAAGATTCTACTGGATGACTTCATAATCTTCGGGGATATGAAGACTTTGCCTCTGCAAGGACAGTCGGTGTATGCGATGGTAGATGAGGAGCAGAATTATGAACCTGGTCTGGTTTTGGGCGTGGAGGAAAACGATAGCGGCACTGTTACATACAAATGCACGACTGATGGGTAAGTTATTATGTTAGTAATAGACGAGTGAAGTCATGACGTGCATGTTTTGTATTATTACACAATAGACTCTTCAATAAGAAACGTCATTGAAAAGAAACACGTCCGCTTTTTTACCTTGAAGTTTGTTAACATTATTAGGTGAATGAATAAGATAAACATATCCATTCTCATATAAAAAACTTTGTGTCTAGTTTTCATTCAGATTCATATTTCTTAAATAAAATTGAATTTATTGCTTTTTATAAAAGTCAACAGAAAACTTATGAAAAACCAATGTGTGGAACATAAATCTGATTTTAATTCTATCCAAACAGGGATACTCTAGTCATGGTGACAGCTAGTGAGCTGTACCTAACGGAAGACCAAGCGCGGTCCCTGAAGGAGTCTGTCGCGCGGTCTCACTCGCCGTCTACCCCGTCTACGCCTCGCAACAGGCGACATAACAGGGAGCTGGACTTGGACAATATTATACAGGTAAGGCTTTTTGATAATACACAGTATATTATAGGCCCGAAAGTTGTACCTTGCGGGAGTCCAGGCTTTTAGTAGCGTAAGATATAGCTTAGGTCCGTGAGTGGTCCCTTGCGGAAGACCAAGCGCGGTCGCTGAAGGAGTCTGTCGCGCGGTCTCACTCGCCGTCTACCCCGTCTACGCCTCGCAACAGGCGACATAACAGGGAGCTGGACTTGGACAACATTATACAGGTAAGGCTTTTAGTAACTCAAGATATAGTTAAGGTCCGGGAGTTGTACCTTGCGGGAAACCAGTATTTTAGTAGCGTAAGATATAGTTAAGGTCTGCGAGTAGTCCCTTGCGGGAAACCACACACGGTCGTGAAGACTCCGTGTGATCTCAATCTCCATCAGCTCTGTCTACGCCTCATAACAGAAGACACAAGTTGGACTTGGACAATATTATAAAGGCTTTTGGAAGCTCAAGATAATGCACAGTTTACTTTCATAGATAGATACATTATAGGTCCGAAAGTTGTACCTTGTGAGAGCAGAGTCTACTAGTTTCTTCTCTCCGTGTGCTCGGCAACACATAGTAGAAGACAACAGTGAGGACCTAGATATTATACAGGTAAGGGCCCTCGCCCACGGCGACTTTTTGTAGCGATGCAGTCGCGTTGCTGTAGCGCGGTAGTAAGTAGCGCGTTGGCATCACTTCTGTAGTGCGTTGCAAATGCGAACTAACGCGCGTTAGTAGCGATGCTGTCGCCGTGGACGAGGGCCCTTAGGCTTTTAGTAGCTCAAGATATAGTAAAGGTCCACGAATTATACCTTGCAGAACACCTTGCGATCTCTTAAAATTTATAGATAAAAACGAGATTTCCCATCTCTCGTTTCAAAAATCCGCGATCAACAAGACGTTTTATCATAACAAAACTTAACAGCCAATGTCAATGTCAAGGCAACGAGATAATGACCTAAATAACTATGCGATAGTGCGATACGGCATTGGCATTGAGTGCTTCCTGTCGTGATGTTGATAATAGCGTCTCGTAGTAAACGATGTTTTGAGTGGAGCAGGTTGCATGTATTATGAAATGACACTTAAAACTAAATTTGAACCTAAATGCAGAAGCCTGTTATTGTATGAATTTCAATATTTGACCCTTAGCCTAGGCTTAGTTAGCCGATAGTGGGGTCGGAGATGGATATGTATGAAAGGGGTCCATATTCGGTTGCATAAAAAATATTGTCATAATTTAAGAGTGCATAAAGTTTTTTGGCATACTCATCATTTCGCATAACGCTCATACAGAATAAATCATAAGGCATATATTTTTTTGCCATAACCACTTTTATTATAATAATATTTTGGTATATATTTTTTCTGTATTCTTGTTTTTTTAATAACGATTTCTAGGCATAACATTTTTTGGCATCTAAACCAATGCCATAAATATTTCCATTCATAATATACAAAATACCATAATGTTAACAAAATATGAAATATAAAAATGTTATACATATAAAATATAAGTTAACAATTAATATAAATAGACAAACAAGCATGCAATCAAACAGCAAGCACGCAAGCATGCAAGCAAGCTGCAAGCATGTAAGCAAGCAGCAAGCAAGCATGCAAGCAAGCAGCAAGCATGCAATCAAGCAGCAAGCACGCAAGCATGCAAGCAAGCAGCAAGCAAGCAGCAAGGAAGCATGCAAGCAAGCAGCAAGCATGCAATCAAGCAGCAAGCACGCAAGCAAGCAGCAAGCAAGCAGCAAGGAAGCATGCATGCAAGCAAGGATGCAAGCAAGCAAGCATGCAAGCAAGCATTAGGATTGCCTTATCTCCGGCGCTGCGGGAAGTGCGGTCCTTCCGCTCTGGCGTAACATATACCCGGCATGCCGGCTGCCGGATATATGTTACAGCGACCGAGGACCGCACTCCCTCCGCGCCTCCGGCTTTTAAATTACACTCTAGTATAGGGCAGACTAGTACCACGTGGAAGAGACCACGGCCAGTCGGGATCTACATAATTCCAGACCAGGCAAGCTTAATGTTGTAAAAGAAATGTCGACTGTATATGTGCGTTATAATAGATAAGAGAGATTCGAGATCAAACAGAATGTATTTTCACGAGCTTAAGTTTTCTAAGAGACAGGTCAAAAATTAAGAACAAAAATGACAATGACACAGAGAATTTAGTTTTTACAAATCTATAGGCCGAAAGAGTATTAAAGGTGGAAGGAGGATCGTTCGCAACATCACAAATACATAATTATTTACTCTTCAATATTGGTTGTTCTTATAGACAATATTTATGACTTTAAATGTTATACATAATTAAATTATGTTTATTGTATTTTATTCAAAACAAACTTTAGGAATATAAAAATTATGTTCTTTACTTTTATGATTATTTAAATTATGGTATTGAAAATTAGAGAAAGTTATTATTATGCCTAAGAAACCATTATGCATTTAGAAAACTATGCATATCAAAGTTTATGCGAAAAAACTTTATGCAAATACTGTTATGCCAAACTAAATTATGATGAAAAATGTTATGCGTCTGAGAGGGCACCCGTATGAAAGTGCGTACATTCGGCACATTACACTGATTTGCTATCGGCCGATTCTTCATACAAATTAGAATCGGGTCCAACTATCGGCCAACTAAAAGACGGTGGACTGCGCCTAGGCTTAACAGGCTTTCATAGGATTCATACATGAATCATGAATGTCAGTCAGCGTCAAATAGTTCGTGATACCCAAAATAGCCATTAAGTTCGCAACACGTCTTTGTTATAATTGGAATAAGGCTGTGTTATCCACTTATTGGCCGCTTTGGGCGTGACGAAATATTTGAAACTACCTAAATGTGTGCCAGTAGAACAACCTCATGGTTAATTTATCGAACTATGAAGCCAGCCGTGGTTGTGGATTTGAATCCTGTTGGCGGCAAATGTAAGCACTTTTTCCTGGAGTTATCAATAAAATAATAATATCTTTCAGATGTAATAAAACTATTTGTTTTCACAGGGTCCTCGCAGTGCCAGGAATCGAGATAAGGGTGTATCCAGCGCTAAGAAACGGGTGGCTTCGCCAAAGAGTCCTAAAGCATCTACCTCAGGTACAGAAAGCAATAGTTACATAAAACACTTTGTATGTTTTATTATAAACTTAAAAAGCTGGTTTCATTATTTAAATTCTTATCAAAATAGAGGTTACTAAGAATGATAAAATAGCATAAAACTTTTCATTCATTGACTGTAGTTTGATTCAAAGTTCAGTCATTCAAAGGTCAGACTAGAGATGGGTAAGTGCTAATAATCCGATTAATAGCAATTGGCTAGTAACGGATTAAAAGCAGTTATTAGCCATTAATAGCCAATAATAGCCGATTTCAGATGGTAACCCTGCTATTAATGTTATACTAATGATTAAACATATCCCTTCATAGTTTACAAATGTAGCACTTGNTAGATCTGTCACTAAGTCAGTCAGTTTCTCCTTTTATATATTTAGATTCATTTTTAACTACAATGTCGTTTATATAAATTACATTGATGTTTTTTAGTTCTTTTTTGTTTCTTTGAGTAATATTTGATTTTAATATTGATTTGATTTTAAAGGTGGAAGAAAAAACGTAAGAAACTATTAATAGCAGGGTTACTAGCCAATGGATGGCTAATAATGGCTATTAATAGATAATAATCAGTTATTATCCAAACTAGCTGGCTACAAACCCATCTCTAGGTCAGACACAGCTCCCCCTCCCTGCCAAGCTTCCAGATTTAGTATTAGAGTGAAATTTTAAAAGTATTTCACTGAGCAGGTAATTAACAATGCTCATTATGTATAGGATACTATCTAAGGTGGTACATACCTGCCCATTAAGTGCCTATTCACTCTTATATTAGACTAGCTTTTGCCCGCGGCTTCACCCGCGTGAAATTTAGTTTGTCACATATGGTCATAAATTATAGCCTTGTTATTCTGGGTTATAAATAATAATACTGTGAAGTTTCAACAAAATCCGTTCAGTAGTTTTTGCGTGAGAGCAACAAACATCCACACAAACTTTCGCATTTATAATATTAGTAGGATAAGTATAGTGCATCACGACACCAATATCGTTTTATGATTTTTTTCCAAGCGCATCCTTATTTACTTTCTATTGTCATCAACCCACAGGCGTGAAGAGTCAAGCCAAAAGCACGCCGGTCAGTCGCAAGCGTTTAGCCAGCGAGAGCAGTGAGATAAGCGAAAGTAGCAACTCGGCACCGCCTGTAAGGCTTGAAGAGGTCGCTGGCGTCGAACCTGAGGTGCAACGCACTCCAAGGAAGATTGACGGGGTCAAAGGTCAGTTATACATGCGGTCAGAGGTCGGTTACAGACAAGACAAAGGTCGCAAGCGTCTAGCCAGTGAAAGCAGTGAGATGAACAGCAATTCCACGCCGCCTGTGAGGCTTGAAGAGGTCGCTGGTGTTGAACCTGAGGTGCAACGCACTCCAAGGAAGATTGACGGGGTCAAAGGTCAGTTATACACGAGGTCAGAGGTCAGTTATAGACGTCTAGCCAGTGAGAGCAGTGAGATAAGCGAGAGCAGCAACTCTGCACCGCCTGTGAGGCTTGAGGAGGTCGCTGGTGTTGAACCTGAGGTGCAGCGCACTCCAAGGAAGATAGACGGGGTCAAAGGTCAGTTATAAACGAGGTCAGAGGTCAGTTATAGATGTTTAGCCAGTGAAAGCCAAAGCAGTGAGATGAACAGCAATTCCACGCCGCCTGTGAGGCCTCAAGAGGTCGCCGGCGTCGAACCTGAGGTGCAACGCACTCCAAGGAAGATTGACGGGTTAAAGGTCAGTTATAAACGAGGTCAGAGGTCAGTTTTGACGTCTATTGGTTCCTTAAAAATACATAAGTCGCTATGCATCCTCGCAAATATCTAGTGGAAACGCAGCCTAAGGCTTGAAGAGGTTGCTGGCATTGAACCTGAAGGTGCAACGCATGCCACAGAAGATACACGAGGTCAGGGGTCAGTTATAGATGGAGTCAAAAGTTCAGCAAACCTCTAGTGCAAGCAGCTAGATGTATATAAAAATTTAAGTTCTGTTAACCTAGCAAAATTTTGTGTATCTTGGAAGATGATCAATTTACTTAATAGGATAAATATCTTGCCGAATGGTCCTAACCTCAAACTTGCGATTCTTTACCCTTCGTCTTGTAGATTTTACCAACAAGGTGCATTACAGCGAGTTTCATATTATATCTATTACTAAAATTATTATTATTTCCTTACAGCCGGGCCCGGCTTTATAAAGGGAGCAGCCAAACAGAACATCGGCAAGAAGAACTCAAAACTGACCAAGTTCGAGAACGACGAAGACACGATCTCCCAACTGGGCCCGATCCCGGCGGGCGACAACAAAATGTTCGCCGGACTACACTTCTTGCTGACGTGCACTGATACGCCTAGACGGACGAGGGAGAAGGTAAATATCATGAATCTTTTAACGCCCGTTTCCTATATTCAATCCTTGTCCAAATCCGGATTACAACTGTCAAATTGAATTCAGTTTGAGATTATATTTCCAAAATGTTCGACGCATTTACACTTTAATATTGTTTGAATAGTCTTATAAACATTATAAAAATGTAAATACATCAAAAACCGCAGATATTTTGGTCAAAAACATATTAAAATTTGACAGTTGATAATCCAAATCCCTCCAATTTGGATTAGGATTGAATACAGAAATCCAGCATAAGTTCGTGATTTCTTATCTAACACTAAGTGTTCTAGATTAATTTTAGGAGGATAAGAAATCACGAATATTCCTTTAGGTTCTGCTACATAAATATCTATTTTTATTGATATGTCCGAAGATAAAAAAAATGGTCATCATCATATCAGCCAATGGCAGTCAATTAACCAACTAGCGCCAAAAAGCATTCTGCCTTTTTCATCTATACACTATCAGCTATATTGATGACATTTGTCCATCGAGTTAGAGGTGATCTACACTACTTTGGTCAAGATGTTTTCACAGTGCTGCTGGATGTAAGCCTCAAATAAGAGGGTCAAAGGGCAGATTTTCCAAGTTTTTGATTTTGATATTCGTGTCCTTCGGACAAAGGGATCTCCTATACAAAGTATGCAAAGACGAAGTTTCAAGAGAGTTCTCTAGAAACCACCTTTTGTCGGTTTTACTATACATACGAGTAGATGGCCCATATCCAATTCATCATCGTCATCATCATATACAGCCACAAGACGTCCAATGTCGAACATAGGCCTTTTCCATATTCAATTATTTTTTACTAAAGCCTGGTCCGTGAGCACGTAGAATTTTGTCCAATGACCCCAAGCTACCCATCCTTATTGCTCGCACGTAATTATGTTGCTGTCGCGCTCGCACAATCACTGCGGGCGCCCGTCGCACAGTCGCGACTATAATTACGCGCGAGCGATAAGGATGGGTAGCTTGGGGTCATTTGACAAAATTCTGCGTGCTCACGGACCAGGCTTTAGCTTCGCCCGCGTGAAATTTTGTTTGTCACAAAAAACTTAATCGCGCGCGTCCCTGTTTCAAAAACCGGGATAAAAACTGTCCTATGTCCTTTGCAGGGACTCAAACTATTCTATTTCTATGCCAAACATCAAATCGGTTCAGTGGTTTAAGCGAGAAAGCGACAAAGACAGTTACTTTCGCATTTATAATATTAGTATATTGAAAACGAGCTGTGCCCGCGACTTCGTACGCGTGAAAACCCGTTTTCGCAACATTTTTCATTTTTGCTCTGCATCTATTACGTGTAGCGTGATGGTATATAGCCTAGCCTTCCTCGATAAATGGGCTATCTAACACTGAAAGAATTTTTCAAATCGGACCGGTAGTTCCTGAGATTAGCGCGTTCAAGTAAACAAACAAACCGAAGAAGCTTTATAATATTAGTATAGATGGCACACACAAAGCAAGTCGGCCTCGACGAGTATTGCCAAGAACAATAAAGAAGAAGAATATTAGTATAAATCATTCAATTATTGCATTTCCTAGAGTCAAAGCCACTACTCATCTGAGGAGGACGGCGAGACGGCGGGCGCCAGCGCCAGCGCCGAAGACGTGGTGTTCTGCGCCAGACCCTTCCACAAGGAGCGCCTCAAGGAGCAGCTGGAAGCCGGCGGCGGCGTCGTCTACAGGTAAAACAGGAACTTATGTGCTTGCAATAGGAGCGAGTTTTGTGTAACAGATTTGTCGATTGTTCGAATGAGGACACTTTTGGCTGGGTGAATATTGTGCACCTTATGTACTTGTAATAGAAGCGAAGCTAAAGACGTGGTGTTCTGCGCGCGGCCTTTTAACAAGGAACGCCTCAAGGAGCAGCTGGAGGCCGGCGGCGGCGTCGTCCTTATGTGCTTGCAATAGAAGTGCTTTTGCAACAAACTACTTTTCGACTGATGACACTTCTGGGTGAACATTATAGCATCTTATGCAGTCGTAATAGAGGCGAATTTGCTTCAAATAGTCTGATGTGCTGAAGAATGTGGAGACGTCGTGTTTTGCGCGCGGCCTTTTTACAAGGAATGCCTCAAGGAGCAGCTGGAGGCCGGCGGCGGCGTCGTCTACAGGTACCTTATGTGCTTGGAATAGGAGCGAGTTTGGCATAACAGGTGCTGGTGACTGTTCGAAAGATACTACACTGTGGCACCCTTATGTAGTCGTAATAAAGGCGTAGTTGCTAATGAGATGTGAAGACGTCGTGTTCTGCGCGCGGCCTTTTTACAAGGAATGCCTCAAAGAGCAGCTGGAAGCCGGCGGCGGCGTCGTCTACAGGTAAAACAGCACCTTATGTGCTTGCAATAAAAGTGTTTTTGCAACAAACGCGTATGAGCTGTCCACTGTTCGCAAGCTGTACAGGTCTGTCTAATGACGGCCTAGAAAAAAATGGTAGAGGTCGCAAATGTGTGACCAAACTCCTTGGCCGCGCGCCTGGCCGGCGAGAAACTTATTTTTTCTTTTTATGTTTTTTATCGACTGTCACTTTTTTCTCTTCTCTTGACTTTTCTACTCTGAACTAAAAGCAATGTAACTTGATTTTATTTTTACAATATAATTTTATTTTACACCAAAAAGCCTTTCAATCAATAATCTCTCGTAGTGTCGGTGACGTATTTCGTTCACAAGCTGAGAATAATGTAGCACCGTATGTGGTTAGAATAGAAGCGAATTTGCTTCAAACAGTTTGATGTTTTGAAGAATTAACGGGTTGTGTTCTGCGCGCGGCCTTTTAACAAGGGATGCCGCAAGGAGCAGTTGGAGACCGGCGGCGGCGTCGTCTACAGGTAAAACAGCACCTTATGTGCTTGCAATAAAAGTGCTTTTGCAACAAACGCGTATGAGCTGTCCACTGTTCGAAACATGCAAATAATTTAGCACCGTAATTGTTGGAATAGAGGCGAATTTGCTTCAAATAGTCTGATGTGCTGAAGAATGTGGAGACGTCGTGTTTTGCGCGCGGCTTTTTTTACAAGGAGCGCCTCAAGGAGCAGCTGGAAGCCGGCGGCGGCGTCGTCTACAGGTACCTTATGTGCTTGGAATAGGAGCGAGTTTTGACTGTCCCAATGAGGACACTTCTGGGTGAATATTATGCACCTTATGTAGTCGTAATAGAGGCGAACTTGCTGTGGGATATAAAGACGTGGTGTTCTGCGCCAGACCCTTCCACAAGGAGCGCCTCAAGGAGCAGCTGGAGGCCGGCGGCGGCGTCGTCTACAGGTAACATTCATCATCATCATCATCATCAATATTTCAGCCACAAGACGTCTACTGCTGGACAAAGGCCTCGCCCAAGGTTTCGACAATGAACGGTCCTGCGCTGCCCGCATCCAGGCTCTTCCCACGACCTCAATGAGGTCGTCGGTCTACCTAGTAGAAGGCCTGCTCACACTACGTCGCCAGCCCGTGGTCGCCACTCGAGAACTTTTCTGCCCCAACGGCCATCGTCTCTACAAGATATATGCCCCGCCCACTGCCACTCCATTTTAGCAATTCTGCGAGCTATATCGGTCGCTTGGGTTCTCCTGCGGATCTCCTCATTTCTGATTCGATCACGCAGGGAAACTCCGAGCATAGCCCGCTCCATCACCCATTGGGTACCTTATGTGGTTGCAATAAGAGCTAATATTGACAGCACGTAAGACGAATCGATGACAGATACTTCAGGGTGAATATTGTGTACCTTATGTACTTGTAATAAAGGCAAAGCTAAAGACGTGGTGTTCTGCGCCAGACCCTTCCACAAGGAGCGCCTCAAGGAGCAGCTGGAGGCCGGCGGCGGCGTCGTCTACAGGTAACCTTCATCATCATCATCATCAACATTTCAGCCACAGGACGTCCACTGCTGGACATATGCCTCCCCCAATGATTTCCACAATGACCGGTTGATAGCGGCCTTCTTCCAGCGCCTTCCTGCTACCTTTTTGAAGTCATCAGTCCACTGGTGGGTGGATGTCCCACTCTGCGTTTTCCGGTACGCCGCCTCCGTTCCAGAACCTTGCTGCCCCATTGGCCGTCAGTTCTGCGTACTATGTGCCCTGCCCATTGCCACTTCAGCTTGCTAATCCGTCTGGCTACGTCAGCGACTTTAGTTCGTTTACGGATCTCCTTATTTCTGATTCGATCACCGTATGTGGTTGTAATAGGAGCGAGTTTGGCATAACAGGGTTATGCTGGCGACTGTTAGAAAGATGACGAAACTGTAGGAAACACAAAAAACGTGTTACTTTAAGTTGTTCATAAATGAATCCTAAAAATTTTACATGAAGGCCAAATAATTCAATCTCGAACATAATTTTAGCCTTAAAATCCTCCCTTTTCTCCTCAGCCACTTCGACGATGTGCCAAAGAACAAATACTCCGTCTGCAAGCTCATCTCACCTCGTCCTTGCCTCACCGCCAAGTACATCCAGTGCCTCGCGGCTGACATTCGAGCAGTGACCCACGGGTGGGTCATCGAGAGCTGCATCAAGAATCAACTGGTGGACGTCGAGGCGTATCTGCTCCCGGCTGGGTGGTCCTTGCAGAAGCAGCAGCATATTGATTGGGTGAGTGGATCATATACAAGTATATTTAATGTCTCGCGGTGACCCACGGGTGGGTCATCGAGAGCTGCATCAAGAACCAACTGGTGTGGATGTCGAGGCTTATCTGCTCCCGGCTGGGTGGTCCTTGCAGAAGCAGCAGAATATTGATTGGGTGAGTCAATCAAATACATTCAGTGTCTAGCAGGTGACATTCGAGCCGTGACCCACGGGTGGGTCATCGAGAGCTGCATCAAGAACCAACTGGTGGATGTCGAGGCGTACCTGCTCCCGGCTGGGTGGTCCTTGCAGAAGCAGCAGCATATTGAATGGGTGAGTGAATCAAATACGTCTAGTGTCTGGTTGCAGTCATACGTGTGGTGACCCACGGATCACATCCTCATTCTTGTTGACATGTTAATTTGACAAAAAAATAGTGTCATAAATGGAATTGGTATAATTTTCACTGAAAGAGATCAACAATAAATGAGTAATAATTCGTTTCTTCAAATTATACTAAGCTAATAAAATTGCTCTCAATTCCAGGCGCCGTCATCAGGCAAACGCAACACGTCCTTCTTCAAGGACAAGCTCATAGTGCTATGCAGCGACAACGACAGCACATTCCTCAAATTTTGGGACCGAGTGTGCACCCTTGCGGGAGCCAACACGCGCGTGGTCAACGAAGACGATCTCAACATGGCCGGAGCCCTGGCCCTGGTCACAGAGTGGGACTGCCCGCATGAAGTCCAGAACAAAGCCAACCAAGATAATATCCCACTCGTCTCCACACACTGGGTCATCCAATGCCTGGTCGAAGCCAAGGTGCTTGACCCCAACGGTCATGCCAACTTCTCATTTGCATTTACGGAGCAAGAATGATCCTGGGACTTCAGAAAATACCTCATAATACGTGAATTTTGACACTTAGAGGTAGCGCAGTGACGCATAGTGTTAAGTGCAGTGTTAAAATGGAAGTGTAGTTTTAAGTGGTCCGATTTGGAAGTTGGGTTGAACTGGTCTGGTGTGTAGGTAATAAATAAGATTGTAGCTAGTGTGAAAATTGGCAACTATAGTCAAATATTTGAGAGAGACTGTGATTATGGGACTGCTGAAAATGGAAGGTTAGAAAATAAATTACAAATAAATTACAATTAACAAGTACATACTATTACTATCCGTGTATAAACGTAATAATTCATCTCCGTTTTCCAATATTTTCATAGGTGTACTTTCTATTTGTAATGTCACTTGTGATTCTCATTGTGATCTCCAAACTTAATGTATTATTGCAAAAAGTCCATTTAATATGTTAATCCTACATAAAACTAGTAATTTGGCATAAAATGTTGAAGAATACAATAGAAATATATGGAATGTTAGATCAATGGTTCAACCCTAGTAAAATTTGAAAATCATGAAAGACGTTTCGTCACTAATATAAAATTAATATTATTGACTATGTACCTGATACAACAGGTCCATTCTAAATGATCTGCAGGTATACTTATATCGTAGTTAAGTTATAATAAGTACAGTGTGAATTTTCCCAATGATCTATTCTTATATACTCTTAGTGTAAAGTTGTGCAAGCAACAAATCTGTTTTCTTGTATCAAAGAATTTGTCGATGTTTAGGGTAAGCTATAATGAGTATTACAGCTTGATTCATGTTAACTATAATATAAAAAACTTGGCGAGAATGCAATGAACCGTGGCTAAATGTAGTGTTTACGAAAGTTGGATATAATTAAGGTATTTAACATCTAATGTTTAATCTTACTATTCCTACGGGGACTTGATATAGTCATTTATAAGCCCGATTATTTAGTGGGTATTGAGTACTATAAGTTGTCTTTATAATATGACCTGGTACATTTGATGTTGCTTAAATATGTGGGTTGTACCTTTGAGTCAGTATGTACGAAGATACTATAGTAAATGTTGGAGCCTTTGTCAAGGTGACAGTTGTATTCAAATATTAAGTGTATATTCTTAGGTAGTCTATACAGAGGCGATTTAATGAAAACTTGTATTACTTAAAACTTAAATGTCAGATGCAGACTAACTTTTACTATGGAACAAAATCCCCATTTATGCTAAAAAAACATTACAAGATTTGAAACTACATTGATGTTACTTTCACAATTCAAGTGTTGATGATTAATAGCTGAAGATTAAGGACATACAAGATTTAATATTTTATCCTATGTGTTAATATTTAAGGAAAATTGCTAATTAAAGGTAGCATAATACCTTTTTGTGTGCATTTAGGTAATAGATGCAATTAGTTGTAAGAAGAAAAAGGTGATTTGCCTTGATAATGTAAGATAAAATGAGGGTGAGATGTGTGATCACACATATTGTTTTAAAATTCCGGAGGATCTACTATAATGTGGAAACCTCATCGAGCAATGTGCGATTGACATCAGTACATCTTTCTATGTGAAAAGAATTGATGAATCAGATTTGTGCGACTTAAATAAGTCTGAATAAAAGTAGGTAAGATTCTAGCTTAACATATTATTGTGTGTAATAATTGGTGAGTAAACTTGGTCTCATTTATACATAATCTAGTGGTATTCTATTTTTTGGCAATATTCCTAAGTTCTTGACAGTTTTATTTGTTGAAATTAATTTTCTTGTGCTTGTTATAAACAAAGCCTTTTTTCAACAATAATTTATAATATTATGTTCACATTATACATTTATTGAAGGATTTTTTGAAAGAACTAAGTGACTATTTATAACTAAATGTAGACTTTAAATATCCTTCGATAAATGTATGTTGTATTGCTAAAAGATGCTTAGTGATATTTTGACTTCGTGATATGTTTGGATAGTATTTTTTTATTTGCTCTTTAATTTCAATCATGTATGACATTTTTATTTTTATTTTCTTGTAGGTGGAAGCAGTAGGTATTTTTACTTTATTGACTTCTCGTCGCAAATTAGCTTAAAAGTAGTCTTAGGAGATATTTTTAGCCCCCATGTTCATAAAAATATTATTAAACAGGATGAAACTCCATTAGCTAATCTCCCGTTTGGGTATTCTTTTTCTGTCAAATCTTGACAGTGGTGTTCACAGCAGACAATTAGCTAAATGGTTGTTTTAATTAATTTAGTTTTTATGAATAATCGGGGAATAACATTCTACATTTAACTTCAAACTGTGCTATTTTCAAAGATCGATGTTTTTTGGACCATTCGGGAATTTATCAAAAAATTGTCACTGTATGTACGAAAATTAAAGCTTGATCTGTACTGTATATACCTACCGTATTTAATAAGTGTTACTAATTTAGATATAATATCTAAGACATGACTGTCAGGCGAGTCATACCACAAAGTCTAAAACTAATTCATAGTTACAATTTCATCGGAAATTCATAGCTGTATTTGACTCGTATTGATATCTGTAATTAATGTTTCAGAGTTATCACAAGATATTAAACTTTTTGGATACATTTTAATTAGTATTCTATTGAGGTGTGAATTAGTATTATCTAATGTCAAATGACTATGAATTTCTATATTTTGTCGTAGAGTTGATGTGAAATTTTGGTTCTAGTGACTTTTAGTCAATAAACATGCATTTTAATTAATTTGAGCTATATGTTGGTGGATTGACACAACATTATTGTGTTCTCGCATTTTGTAGTTGTCTTTATTTGTTTTTGTTATGTTGTCGTAATTTCGTTGTAAGATTGTATGGAGTCATGGTAGAAAATTAAATGTAATGTGTAAACTATGGTAAATAAAAACAGTGGACACAAAACTTTTCTTTTCTTTCTAGTAAGTAAAACATGTTTGTTAATGTTTATTTATTTAGGTTATAATCTTCTTTGGTTCACTAATTAATTATTAATTAACTAGATTTCTTACTCATGAGGTTGCCAGTTAGTTTAATTTCTGTTGCATTAAATAAAATTGTACAAAATTCCAAAAAAATTCACTATTTTAGAGCGTTGTTACTAAGCGCCATCTAGGACTCCAGAGACATACTACTTCGTCGGGCTTATATTAAGAAAGAAGTACCAACTATTGAAAAAGTCATTAGATGGCAGCACATGTATCTAAAACTGCAAATAAATGGTGACTGCCTACAAAAGCAATTTCTACCAACTAACTTACAGAGATATATACGTACGAGTAAGTTACTTGATCCATGTATTGTATTTAAATTATGGAATAACCTCCAATAATTCTATAACCCATTCAAGTGTCCACAAAGTAGGCAAGTAGGTAAGTATGTTACATTTTCTGGGAGTACATTACCTACATACGTGCTAAAAACATTGACAATCTAACTAGAAATATATTCTAGCTCAATTAAAACCCAATACCCCGTTCAACGAACGTTTGAATATAAAAACAAGTGAGTAGGTATTTATCGTACAAAACAATACATCCACTGTGTGTGACCTAGGGGTGAGGCGATACCAAGATGTTCAAAAGTGTATCGTAACTCTAGGCCAGCTGTAGGGCCAGGTTTAAAGGTTACCTTTATAAAAGCAATACTTTACGTTTTGTAAAACCAGTTTGCGTGGGGCGGTTGATGTCCAAGGACTCCTTTTGGAAGTTGGAATTAGTGACTAACTTTTACATAGTAAATAGGCATACTTAGTCACAGAATAAACACATACGTGACATTGTAGTGCTGTGAACAGAGTTGTTTTTTTCGCTAAGATTTTGGCTTACCTACGTGTGTGCGAAATTGTGTGTGTATCTACGAATATTGAGTGGGAAAACGTGTGAAGTGTAATCTTCTGTAATTTACTCATTGGTAACTTTACAATGGTTTTTACCAATTGATTGTCATATACTAAGAAAGCGTGTTCATAATTATTAACGCTTCAGCGGGACTGTCCAGTGAATGAGTAGATTCGACGCACTCCGAAAAAGTCAACTGAAACAGACAATTTTTTTTTTTCAAAGTCAAAATTTCTTTATTTGTTTAGACTAATAAATAGTTCTTACAAATCGTCATTTTGCTCTTAAGGAGCCTCTACATGTCTCATAATCTTTTTACCCTATCAGCGCTTCGAGACCAACATTTGGCAAGTGCTGAGAAGAAGCGCCGCAACAAACTCAGTCACCACTGTCTGCCGGTTAATATAAATATAAATACTTAAAAATAATTTAAGATACTAACTACCTCAGTGACCTCAAAATCAAAGAGTACCTCTTGGGGCAAAAAAGTTTTCGAGTGGCGACCACGGGCCGGAAGACGTAGTGTGGGCAAGCCCCCCACTTGTGGACCGACGATCTGATCGCAGGAGGAGCCTGGATACGAGCGGCACAGGACCGGTTGTTTTGGAAATCCTTGGGGGAGGCCTTTGTCCAGCAGTGGACTTCGTTTGGCTGAAACGACGACGACGACCTACTTGGGCTATGGAAGTTCGAAGCATGTAATTTAAACTTTTGTTTTCAATTTACTAATGCCCGTTTTCACCATCAATTCATAATTCTTGAGTGAGCCCTATGACAACGAAATTCATATTATGTGTTACCATAGGGGTCACTTAAAAATTAGGGATTGATGGTGAAACGGGCATAAGTCGCCTAAGTCTATAGGCATATCATTTTAAAACCTCAAGATTTTTAAGATAATAAAATTGATTTTTTCCAACATCCGTTTTGAATCTGTATGCCACAGTATGATTGCTTTATTGTAACTTATTTATAAGTTTACTGTATCGCCTATCGTAGCAGACACAGAGTTTATCGGTAAGGTTAAGTATTTCGATAAACATGATCAGATGAGAAACGTCTGATGAAATATACCTAATAACTTTTAAGTCGACCTTATTTATGTGTAATATTATTTTACGATTAACTACAGACTTAATATGTATTGTCTGCGACAGTAAAATTTGCACGTTTCGCTATCGTACGAATATTTATAAATGCTTAAATGTGAAAGTTTGTAACCATGTATGGATGTATGGATTTGTTTGTTTTTTTACGCCAAAACTACTTGGCGGATTTTGATGAAACTTTACAGTATTGTTGTTTATACGTCAGAATAACATATGGGCTATAATTTATGAAAAGCTGTGCTTGAATTTCACGCCATAGTTTTTATGTGTCAATAGTTCTCTGAACTTTTTGGTATGCAAGTTGCCTAAATCTTAGTGCGAACTGTACCTTTTGTTTTGTAATAAAACTATTTCGCTTTCATTTTAAGTTTTTATTTTAAATCTCCTAGAAATAAGGATAAGAGAGTTCACACCAATAACTAATATATAATTTCAAGACAACTTCTCTAAAAGAAATGAAAATGTACTTAGTTAGTCCTGAAAAATCAAATTGGAAAGTAAAGGAAAGTGGCTTGCCTTAGTTGCCAAATTGTAGAGTCGCAATTTGACAGTTGATAAAAAGTACCCTACCCTATTCTGTAGTTCCAATTTTTATCCTACTACCTTAGTATCTTGTGATCGTCAGTTTTCATGTGCTCTGAAGTGAAAAGATCCATCTGCTATCTATTAAAACCAAGTAGAAAGCCCGTATTACAAACGATGTTTGCTTAAGTGAATCAGCAAATCGAACGCACAGCATTTAATAGAGCTCTGTGATTGGTTCGTGTGTCTCCCTGTGCGTCCACGCGCACTGTGAGACCTCATAGTAATGTTTGTAAATATGGGTGACAGTGTGTTTAGAAAGTGATGATGTGTGTCTTCCATAACGTGAAGTTTCTACATTTTCTCACTCGTTGCAAGCTGTGGGTAGTCGACACACCAGGGACCAGCAAGTAGTAAGTACTTTTGATATCTACGTACACTACCTACATAAACTGACCAAGTATGTACAGCCAGTGCATATCAGACTGTATATTTTTTGTTCCAAAGTCACATCTATTCCGACTACGTAAGATGCTAGTGTAAGGCTTGAAGTGCTGTCGTCTGTAATAAAGACGTTATAGAGGACAGCGAGATAAGGTTATATTTGTAATAAATGGCCGGCTGTTTACGTCTTTCTTATCGTCCAGATAAAATGAGTTATGCTATGAGATCACGCTGGACGGACAGAGAGATGTCGTGTTCGCTATAATACCTATCATATGAGATGGTTTCACGTGAAGGTTAGTCATCATTGGTTTTTAATTTACTATTATAAAAACGGCATTTCTCGGTACCTAATTTATGTCTACTTAATCTTTTAATTCATCAGGACATATCTACGTAAGAATAATTTTCAGCCAGATTTATTTATTTTTTATTTATTTATTTGCTTTGTTCGTTCGTTCGTTTTAGCCGAAAGACGTCCACTGCTGGACAAAGGCCTCCCCTAAGGATTTCCACAAAGACCGGTCCTGCGCCGCTCGCATCCATTTATTTGCTTGTCACATGGTAAATACAGGTGGTAAAAGCAGATTTACCGGCAGACAGCATCAGGTCTACAGAAATATAGAGTCGTCATGAAATCAACGCACATTGATCAAGGCTAAAATTTTTTTTTTAAATGATTACCAATTTTAATGCAAATAAATTAAAATCTAGTCTGGAAAAAGACGATAATAATATGCTCGCAGAACTCTTGTTGGTTTGTATTTTGACGTACCTACCTACTTAATATGCTCGTATTTAATTCTTTATTTTACTTTTAGAGACATAATATTAAAGGTAGAGTAATTGTTTCGAATCGTCGTTACAATTACGTAAAAAAACCTATATTAAAGAACCTATAATAAGACTTTGATATCTTAATAAATTCAACACACTGTAAAGAACTTTTTCACTCAACCATCACTACAAAACTTAATACCAATACACATCTCCCAAGCCCCTAAAAAAGCACTTTTAGGGAAAGCTCACACCTCCCATGAGAGCAGTTGTCAGCTGTTATCAGAACGGCCAAAAACTTCCCATGATAAGTGCCCATGGTGGTAATGGTGAGATGAGAGATAGGGGTTATTGGACTGAGAATGGTCGGAGATTACATCCGGTTTTGTTTTGTGGCGATTTTTATGGCTATTATTATTGATTGGGATTATTATCGGCGATATTTAATAATAATAATGTTCTTTCTTTATTTTTTTTCCTCTTTTTGTGCTATGCTGTATTATTTTTAAACATGATTTATCGAAACTACACAAACTACAAGTTTGAAAACATCATGATAAGCTAACTTTCATACACCGGTTTTATGTGGTGCTACAAGGTGCTACGAATGCTACGAGCTACGAAAAATACACGATACAGACACATATCATGGTTTTTCAAGATTTTAGTATTCACCAAATTGAACTTAATATTTAGATGCAAGTAGCATACCTAAGAGTTTACTTCGAAAATTATTTTGAATATTCGTTTCGTATCTATCTATCATAGAGGCTATATAGCTGTGGCAAGTACCTACAATATTATTTTGTTAAAAGTTAGGGATGATAGTCTGTTAGTTTTTATAAGCGTCACTTAATATGTCAGTTTTTGTACCTAATTAAGAAGAATAGTGTTGTATCTCAAGAGGGTAGGTGTACATTTTCGTGACAAAATTCCGCGAGTATTTCGGGACTATTCTCACCTCTCGTCCCCACCGCTGCAACTTCTGTGTAGCCAGGATTTTCAGCTTGACCGCCAATAAAAACCCAACCAGTGAAGGTCAAGTTTGACCAGCGGGAAAATCGTTAATATTCCTTAAGTAGGTAACTACCCTCAAGTAGCTAGGTATAGATGACCCACGCTGAACTGTCCCACCAAATTCAATGACAGGGGGGCGCTACCATCGTTCAACTATATG